ATACCAAGATGTCCAGGAAGAAGGAAAAAAGAGAAAAAAAAGCAGAAATAGGACTATGTCTTCTATTTTAAAACATATCTAAATAAAACTGTTAGATGAAGAAAATAAGTAGGGTTTCAATGTGTTTCATTTTTAGTATGGAATTAAAAACGACTATGAAATGACTGCAAAGACATCTCTATTATAACGGCACTTGGAATTGGCGATTCAGGAATTATTCATCTTGAATATCTTATGGGGTTTTAAAAATTCTTTAATACGCTCTTCCACAGGAGGCTCACACGCCACCGCTTGTGCTGCCGCCATGTCTCTAGTGATCCCTGAAAAGTTCCAGCATATTTTGTGAGTACTCAACACCAACATCGATGGGCGGTGGAAAATAGCCTTTGCCATCACTGCCATTAAGGGTGGTGGGCCGAAGATACGCTCGTGGTGTTGAGGAAAGCAGACACTGACTTCACCAAGAGGGCAGGAGAACTCACTGAGGATGAGGTGGAACGTGTGATCACCATTATGCAGAATCCACACCAATATAAGATCCCAGACTGGTTCTTAAACAGACAGAAGGATGTAAAGGATGGAAAATATAGCCAGGTCCTAGCCAATGGTCTGGACAACAAGCTCCGTGAAGACCTGGAGCGACTGAAGAAGATATGGGCCCATAGAGGGCTTCGCCACTTCTGGGGCCTTCATGTCCACAGCCAGCACACCAAGACCACTGGCCGCCGTGGCAGCACCGTGGGTGTATCCAAGAAGAAATAAGTCTGTAGGCCTTGTCTGTTAATAAATAGTTTATATACTGAAAAAAAAATTCTTTAATACTATGCCTGAAATTATACTAAGTAAAACACTGAAAAATTAGCAAACATACATAAAATAGAGCACCTTGATTTAGGATGCCTATTTATTAGGATAAATAGGCATGTTTTGGAGGTATGTGCACACAGTAGGTATGTTTTGGAGGACTCATATTGCTTTACCCTCTTCCCTACTGCATCTTGGCGAGGTCTCTGGAGCAAATTAACACAGGCTTAAAACTCAGTAATCCAGTCACAAAGAGAAAGAAAGAAAACACCCCCCATTTAAAGCACCAGGTAGCTAGACCAGTGCTTCCTAAACTGCAGTGTGCACATGAATTATCATCTTGCAGATTCTGACTCACTGCATTACTTCATCTCTTTTCTTGCCTTGTGCTGGCATCTCTACTATAGTGTAAGCACCTTTATCTCCTCCCTTTAGTTTACTGGTTCTCTGTGGTTTGCTACTAGAACTTGGGACCCATGGCATGGTTCAAATTTCTAAAATCAGTATTCACCTCCATTTTAGATTTCTCTCCAGATAGAGCCCTTTAGCGCTGGTATATCTTCAAAGCTAGCCCTTCCATGCATATCCTCACCTGATCCTCTCTATGGTGGACAGTAAGGCAACAATACAAAGGTGGAAAGATCCTCACATTCAGTAGCAGAATGTTGCATTCAAAATGTCATCTGTGGACCAGCAGCCTTTCTGTGACCTGGAAACTTGATAAAATGTAGACTCTTTAGCACCACCTCACCCTGCTGAATTGGAATCTACCTTTTATCAAGATCTTTAGGTGATTTGAATGCTCATTAAAGTTTGAAAATCGTGGGCCAGGCGTGGTGGCTCACACCTGTAATCCCAGCATTTTGGGAGGCCAAGGTGGGCGGATCATGAGGTCAGGAATTTGAGGTGGACCTGACCAAAGTGGTGAAACCCTATCTCTACTGAAAATAGAAAAATTAGTTGGGTATGGTGGTGCATGCCTATAATCCCAGCTACTCAGGAGGCTGAGGCAGGAAAATTGCTTGAACCAGGGAGGCAGAGGTTGCAGTGAGCTGAGGTTGTGCCACTGGATTCCAGCCTGGGCGACAGAGCAAGATTCCATCTTAAAAAAAAAAAGAAGTTCAAAAATCCCTGATTTAAGATGCTTTTAACACAAATAACAGAAAACCCAACTCAAACTGCCTTACATAATACATAGAATGACTTTCAGGTGATCTAATCCAGAGGTCCTTAGGTTATCAGGCCTCTGGAACCAACTTTTTGCTTACCTGAGCTTTTTCCTGTAAGCCTACTCCCTCAATATAGCTTAATATTATGTTAATAAAACAATACAAAATATAGAATGTGTTCTAATAAGTGTTCAAACAAAAACATATTATCATAGTGCTCTTTGGCCTGTGTCCTAAATTTTGAAATGATCACTCCTTAAAATTGAAGCCCTTGGTTGCAAGTAAAGGTCTGACTCAATATCATTTAAACAATAGGAAATTCATCATCTGTAATATCAGAAAGGGCAGAGGATGGCTCCAAAAATAATATACCAAGGTTCCTCTTCTCTGCAGTCCTCTGGACTCTCCCTGACTCCAATGCCTCAATTTTAAGTGTGCTAGTTAGATGGCTAAAATTCCAGCAATCATATCCAGGCCTCAAAATACCTAAAGACTGAAAGGGACCATCTATTCCCATGTCTCTTGTTTTAAGAATAGAAAAATCTGTCGTAGCAGAGGTTTCCTTACAACTCAGTGGCCAGAATTGGGTATCACACTCTGACAGAGATCTCTAATTGCTTTTGAACATCCAATTTCCCCACCTTCTTTAGTAATACTCTCCTGGTTTTTATCTGGGCACATCACTGGCCAGGTATATTTCCTTGCCTCCCTTGAAAGCTAAATTTCGTCAGGTGACTAAATTCTGGTGAGTGAAACATACGTAGAAATGTTGTGTAGAACTTCTGGGAAGTATCCTTAAAAGAGGTAGCATTCTCTTTTAATTCCTCTTCTCCCATTCTGATTTCTGGAATGCAAACATGATGGCTTAAGCTTCTGCAATCCTCTTGGATCATGAGAACAAGGGTACACTCAACATCAGGTGGAGCAAAGAACTGGAAGGAGCCTAGGTCCCTGATAAATTCAGGAACCTGCCATAAGAGCCTTATTCTGCCTACCCCCGATAGGTGACAGAATAGAATCTGTGTATTTAATTTACTGTTAATCTGAGTTCTTATTAACTTCTGGTGAATCTAATCCTGACGGATGCATGTGTCTTCATATAACACCCTCATGATTTTGGCCACATCTTTCTATTATTATCTTATTATTTCTCACCTTCTCCACATTGGCTTTTTCATTTAATTTGAAGAGAATGTTTTATATCATCACTGCTTGACTATAAAATCAGTCCTGCCTGGCAAAAATAGAACTGCAAAAATAAAAACAATGGAAACTTACTGAATTTTAAAAATTGGCAAACAATGTTTCTATATGACAAAGGCAACAAGCTTATTTGATATGAAATATTAGTTTCAGTAGCTCCTCGGGTGCTCCAGTGGCCTTCCTTTTATTCACTGACAGTATTAGCAGCTTCATTAAGCATTTATCCTAAATCTGCATGCACTTCCCAGGTGGAAGGACTTTTGTCTGTATGTGGTGGTGAGCAATGGAGTTCTATCTGAAGTTATCCACTACATCAGTTGGGAGAAACATGTCTCTAGAGGGAAAAAAAAATCAAGACTTTCTTTTACATTTAGTTGGAGTAGTTTTCAAACTTGGTAAGCCTAAAAATCACCTGAGGCATGGGGTAAAATGCATATTCCTGGGTCTTGCCCAGGTCTAGACTAGAGACCGAGGGTCTGGATTGTAAAAAGTGCCCCAGATGATGCCAATACAAGTAGTTTTCAGACCTTAACTTCGAGAAACGTGAAAAAGCATTCTTTATTACTGTATTCACTCATTCTTCAGTAATTGTCAAGCACCTTCCAGAGTGCTCTGTTAGCCCCTGGTGGGAGGCAAAGGACAGAGGGTTTGTGTGGAGACTCAAGATTCAGTTTTCGTGTCTCAAGGCAGTAGTATCAAATGAGGTGCCCTAGCAACGTTACCCTAGAAGTTTAGGGTTGGAGGGGTCCCTGTGGGCTGCAGTTGGGAGGAGAAGGCTCTGTGGAGCTAGGCTAGAAGGACCTGGAGGTTCTTCTAGAAGGAAGGAGGCTGGAGTCGAGTTGCTTAAGCCAAGTCATCCTAGACTTGAACTTCTAAATGAAAAGGAGTGAAGGCTCTGGTAAAGAGGAGACACATTATTTCGGGGCAGTGAGCTGTTACTCTAGGTCTTCTGCATAGAGAGAGGAGGAAGCTCGGTTTGGGGGAGAGTAATAACCTGGCGTTGATGTTCAGGATGAAGTGGATCTGGCAGCTGCAAAGGCATGGCGACCAGTGTTACCAGCGGTGTGCACTTAAACGAAGAGAACGCTGAGGAGTGGCGAGATTATGAAAATACGGAACTCATTTGTAGGGAGAAGGAAGGAGGTGAGAAGTCACCCAAGATGACAGGTGCCCCTGGAAGATGAGAGCACTTTTTAAAGACATCTCCGCAGAGGGAATCCTAGGTAATTCAGCTTCCTGGAACCAGTGCAGGGAATTAAAAGGCAAAGAGGAAGCTGTTTAACGAAGCGGATTAACCCTTTTTAATGTTTCTCTTTCAATGGAATCACCGTCTTCACACGCTCCCAGCTGCAACTCATTACTTTAACAGTAAAAGCACCACCACCTCAACGCTGGGGCGAATAGGCCCAAGACTCGGCCTACTTCTGTGGTGACCCCGAACCTCTCCAGGAGGCCCAGCTCTGTCAAGGAAAGTTGGTTTCCACACTTTGCTGCACAGTGGAGTCACTTGGGGAATAAATAGGCCTGCCCTTCAGGTCTGGAAGCCACTGAGCTAGCCGCCTCGCCGGGGCCCTGAAGCGCCCGCGTCCCTGCGCGCTCAGTCCTCAGCCCCGAGGGTGCTCGCGGAGGCCTCCCGCCCTGGCGGCCTGGTCCTGGCGTCCCGCCCTCCCCGTCCCACCCCTACCCACTGTGCCTGGCTCGGGCGCAGGTACCAGCTGAGGGCTGAGGGCCGCGGGCCGGGAGGAGGCGGTGCCGGGGCTTCTCAGGTCAGGGCGCCGCAGAACCGAAAGCAGCGGGGGGCGGGGGAGAGGAAGGAGAGGGCGGGCGCGGGGACGCGAGGGCGAGGCGGCCACGCGGGCCCGGGAATGCCCGCAGCGCGGGGCCTCAGAGCCACCCGGTGGCTGCGTCCGGGAGATGGCTCTCAGCCTGGTCGCCGACTTCGAGCTCGGGAAGGACGTGCTCCCGTGGCTGCGGGCGCAGAGGGCGGTGTCCGAGGCCCGCGGGGCCGGAAGCGGCGGTGCAGGTGCCCGAGGCGCGCTTTGGGGCGGGGTGGGGGCGGGGAGTGGGAGTCCCTCATACCCCCGGGGTCTCTGACCAGGCAGGGAGCAGCCTGGGGCCCCGCCGCCCTGGGAAGGCTGGTGTGAGGGCGCCGCTCGCCTTCTCAAAGGGCTGTTTTGACTTTGCCACCCTCACCCAGCCGCGGGGGAAGCCTGAGACGCCTGGCTTGCTGCCGGCCCGCGGGAATTCGCCCTTGGTAGAAAGGCCGGGACGCTGTTGGTTCCCTCAGCATCACCTCATGGCGAGGGTAGAAGGTCGTGCTCTTGTCAGCGGTCGCCTCCCGCCTCCTGGAGCGTTCATCGGCAGTGCGGGGCTCTGCCAAGACGCGCGGGGGTGGGGTGGACTACTGGAAGATTCTCGTTTTGAGAAAGAATCTGTAGCCATCAAGCAAATCACCTATACCTATCAGTGAAGCAGTTTGTCCCCACATGTGCGAGACGTGTTTCTGCAAACCATGTCCGTGGCTCAGGGGACACGGAGCCCGGCGGTGAGGTGCGACAGGGCAGGGGCCGCCTGCAGGCTGCGCGCGGCGGAGCGAGAGCCCCCAGCCGCCCAGGGCTCCGCACCTGTGCAGGCTGCGGCTGCGCGCTTGTTGCTCGGCTCCTAGCCCGGCCGACTCGGGGAGAATGGGAATCCTCTGCCCGCAGCGGTGGCTTTCTGATGATTCGGTGAGAGAACGAAAGTGACTTTTTAGCCTTCCCAGCACTGATCTATTTTAAAGAAGGGAACTTTGTGATTTCTCACTAAGTTTTTCAAGTTTTCTGTAAATGTTGGCGCCTCAGAGCTTAAATGCAGCTTCAAAGCAATGATGCCTGTGGGTCTCACCTTGTGCGTAGAGCGCTGCCCATTTCAGTGAGTTTCCCCTCTTTTCCCCTTTCGTTTTCCTTTAACTGTAGACTTTGGAGGACGTTTATCCGAAGTGGGTATTAAATTACCTGCATCTACAACTCCTTTCCCCTAAATGCTGGTGAAAGTTTTCTTGATGTAAGTTATATATCAAGTTGCTATCTTGTATCTTCACATTCTCCTGTGACTATAGCGGAATTTTTGAGGTTTCCTTGGCTTGGAATGTTAATCATTAGTTTCAAAAAGGAGTTGTATGTTTGTGTAGCATATGCATTGAGTTTGCATTAGTGTCATGATTAGTAAGGCTTTTACTTTTTTTCGAGGTGGGGGATGGTGGTCAAGGAAGAATTTTATACAGCAATTAGCTGGGCGCGGTGGCACATGCCTGTCTGTAATCCTAGCTACTCGGGAGGCTGTGGCAGGAGAATCGCTTGAACCTGGGAGGTGGAGGCTGCAGTGAGCCCAGATTGCGCCACTCCCCTCCAGCCTGGGGAACAGAGTGAGACTCTTTAACAACAACAACAACAAAAAGTCGCTCAAATGTCTGAAAAGTTTTTAGAGGCTTAACTTTTTGAAACAGCTCTGTCTTGTACCACAAAGTACTCCTTTTTCTGAACTCCCACTTTATTTTGCTAAATGGCAGGTGTCTGCAAATGAGAAGTTAGATGAAGTGTGAAATGCCACAGTCTTATGTTTCAGTAATGTGTGTTGCGCTTGCAAAGCTGTCTGTGACCCACTTGGACCTGGTTTCCTTGTATCTTTCGCTCATCTCTGAAGAAATATAAATTTGTGTATTGACAAAATATAATTTTGTTCCACTAAATAACAGGTAGCCCTGGGTCCTCAGGAGGTAAACTTTCTGGAAATACTAACTTTTCTGATGCTGGCAGTATTTTGCTCTTTCAGAGAAAATATCTTGGCAAGATATTAGCCCTGTTATACTAAGAGAATTATTACCTCTGATTATCACCAGTGGGTGGTAGCTCAAAAATACCCCCACACAAATTAATTCCTGTTCTACTGTAATTTATAGCAGTGGCAGGGAAATCTGGAATTCTGTCTCATTTCTAGCACAGCAGTTACACACATTTGTGCAATTGATTATCCTTTCAAAGTTCTAGCTTTTCAAATGTAAATTATGAATAATTATATCATTGTAATGCCGCCTCTATGCATACTTGCTTTCTAAATTTGAAGCCTTAACATTTTTACATCAACAAATACAATTGAAGTTTTCTTAGAGGTGCTAAGTAACTCTCATGAAATATGTATGACACATTCTTGGCGAAACAGAGCTGGGCTAAGTCAGCTGTGGAAATTCTGTGCCTACAATATAACATTTTGGTTAAAAGGGGTCAAGGAGGAAGGAGAACAGATTTGGCTACTGCATTTGCTTCTGGTTCTGGGGTTGAACAAATGGTTTCTCCTGAAATAAAAGACGATACTTGTTAAAAATCAGAACAACTACATAAAAGAATATTTTAACCTGTAGCTGTAAATAATAAAGCACAACCACATACCCACTCTCCAGCTTAGAAATAGAGCAATGTCAAGACTCTTGAAGGCTCTTATGTGCCCTTTTCAGATTCTATTTTTCTCTCATCCTCACCTCCTAGGTTAGCAACCATTTACATTTTTATATTAACACTACTGTGACTTTATTTGTAGTTTTAACCCGTATATATATCTCCCTAGGCAAAGTATTTTGCTTGGCTGTGAACTTTAAGTAAATGAAAGCATGCTGTATGTATTTTTTATTCTTTTTTTTCTCAATATTGTGAGATTTATCCATGTTGACTGGCCAGCTACAGGTCATTAATTTTCACTTCTGTAAAGTGTGCCATCATGTGAATTCAACAAGATGGTGGACGTGGAGATGCACTGCTTAGATTATTCTTTCAAAGAAGAGCTTGTCCCAGGTGCTGTAGTATACTCGGGAGGCAGTCTTCAGCTGTCAGCCCCTTCAGGGATTGCCTGGCAGAGGGCTACCCTACCCTACTTCACTTCCTTTTGGGTGTGGCCCACATGGGATGGAGGGGCTTTAAAGGCCTGGCCATTTTGACTTAACATGGGACAACTCCATTTCAGTTCTGAAGCTTCCTCTGTAGGGGACCTAAGGTCACCCAAGGATATTTGGCCTGCATTGCAGCTGGACTTCTCACCCTACCAGGGCTTACTTCCTTTTCCTTCCTCTTTTTTTTGGGGAGTGTGCAGGGAGTCTCACTCTATTGCCCAGGCTGAAGTGCAGTGGCGCAATCTTGGCCCACTGCAACCTCTGCCTCCCAGGTTCAAGTGATTCTTCTGCCTCAGCCTCCTGAGTAGCTGGGACTATAGGCGTATGCCACCACACCCAGGTAATTTTTTATTTTTGGTAGAGGGAGAGTTTCACCATGTTGGCCAGGCTGATCTCGAACTCTTGACCTCAGGTGGTCCACCGATCTCGGCCTCCCAAAGTGCTGGGATTACAGGTGTGAGCCACAGAACCCTGCCCTTTTTCCTTCCTTTTAGAGGTATTAATCCCACTTTCCTGAGCACTCCCTGATGAACATACTGGGTACTAAACTCTGTCTCAGAATGCTTCCTAAGGAACCCAACTTATTTTTCCAGTGGGTGACTTTTGGGGGGTTCCTGGGGTTTACTATATGGTCAATACTCTAACTACCTGGTGCACACAGGCATAGGTTTCTCTAGAATGTATGTCTAAAAGTGGAGTTGCTGAGTCATAGGCTGTGCACATCTTCATCTTTCCTGGACAATGCCAAATTGTTTTCCAAAGTGTTGTTCTTATAAACACCCCTATTTGTGGTGTGGAAACATTTCTGATACTCTCTATCCTCACAAGTCTTTGACAGTTCAAGATATTAAATTTTTTTGTCAAACTGGTAGGACTAATTATTTCATTGTGCTCTGATGTTGAGCATCTCTGTATGTTTACTGACCATTTGAATTTCCCTGTCTGTGAAATGTCTATTCATCCTTTTGTCCACTTTCCTATTTTTTTAATTAATTTTTTTTTAGGGGTTATGTTTTTGGGATCCTAGTTCTTTATCATGTGTTGCAAATATTTTTCTCTCAATCTGTGACTTTTGTTTCGCTTTGTGATGGTGCCTTTGATAAACAGGAGTTCTTAATTTTAATGTAGTCTAAATTACAGGTTTTTCTTTATAGTTTGTGCCCTTTTAGATATCTTAAAGAAATCCTCCCTATTTTGAAGTCATGAAGACATTTTTAATATTTACTTTTAGAAGCTTTGGGTTTCTTTTTCACATTTTTATTTTAATCCACCTAGAATTTATTTTTATTTATTTATTTATTTATTTTTTGAGATGGAGTTTCACTCATGTTACCCAGGCTGGAGTGCAATGGCGCGATCTCGGCTCACCGCAACCTCCGTCTCCTGGGTTCAGGCAATTCTCCTGCCTCAGCCTCCTGAGTAGCTGGGATTACAGGCATGCACCACCATGCCCAGCTAATGTTTTTGTATTTTTAGTAGAGACGGGGTTTCACCATGTTGACCAGGATGGTCTCGATCTCTTGACCTCGTGATCCACCTGCATCGGCCTCCCAAAGTGTTGGGATTACAGGCTTGAGCCACCGCGCCCAGCTGAATTTATTTTTATGTGATATGTAGGAGTCCAAATTTTTTGAAAAAATTAATAGCTAGTTGTTTCAATATTATTAACCAAATAATATTGGTTATTTTAGTTGTTTTAGTTCCTACAACAAAGCTAGTTCTGCCATATCAAGCTTCTTTATGTAGGTCTCCTTTTCTGAGTTCCTTTTGTTCTATTATCTCACCTTGACGTGACAATAATATCTTAATAACAATACTTTATGGTAAGTATTGATAACTGGTAGGTAAGTCCCCTTACTTAGTATTCTTCATGAGTGTCTTAGCTATTGTATGCCCTTTGCTTTTTCATATATATTTTTCAATCTGCCTGTCAGATTTCGCCAAAAAGTTGATTTGGATTTCCTATAGTTGCATTGCCTCTATAGATCAGCTTGGGGAGAATAGGTATCTTTACAATACTAGATCTTCCCAACTATGAACAAGATATAGCTTGTTATTTATTTAGATCCTTTTTAATGACTCTCAATAAGTCTTAGAATTTTCTC